AGGTTTTAAGCACAAGAAGAACAATTTCAAAGGTGAGAAAGGGAAGGGAAAAGAAACTAGACAAGGACCTAAAAAGAACAAACTCAAGCACAACAAGAAGGGCAAATGATTTGGAAAGAAGAAAGATAAGAGCAAACGCTTCAACTGTTAGGTACTGGGTTACTTTGCTCGGGAATACTCTAAGCCAAAGAAGGTAGCTCTTATAAATTCTTCTTATAGTGATGTTTATGTTTCAAGCACTGTTATGCTAACTGAATATTATCTTATGTGAATTGTAGACTCAGGAGCGACATACCATGTAACCAGGGATCGAGAAGCGTTTGTGGAGTTCCGTCGATTTCCAGCTGGTACAAAGTGAATATATGTTGGCAACGATGATAGAGTGGAGGTAAAAGGGATCGGTACATGCAAGTCACATTTGCGTAGTGGCTATACTATTCTCCTTCATGATGTTCTCTTTGTACCAGGGATATGAAGGAACTTAATTTTTGTTGTTGTTCTTTTACGATTAGGTTTCAGTTTGAACTTTTGTGGTAAATCTGTTCGTATAAACAATGATAATGTATTTTATGGATCGGACATGTAGAAGGTGCTTTTGTAGTGTTGGATTGTGATCCAAACACTTATAATTATTATGTTGATCGTTGTTTTTCTATTAACGTATCTTCTTCTTCTTCTAAAGATTTGATTGTTGATACATCTGCATGACATGCTAGATTAGGACATATTGGGCAAGATAGAATGAATAGGTTAGCTAAAGAAAGCTTGCTGGTTTAATATCTGAGGTTTTGTTACCTACTTGTGAACATTGCCTAGTCCGAAAAACGACACGAAAACCATTCAGTAAAGCCTTAAGAGCCGAATTTCCAATGCAGTTAGTCCATTCAGATATATATGGCCCTATGAATGTGAGGGCAAGAAATGGAGGCTCTTATTTCATTACTTTTATAGACGATTTCACACGGTATATTTCTGTCTATCTGATTTCTCATAAGTATGTGGCATTAGAATGCTTTAAACGATATTTAAATGTGATAGAAAATCAAATAGATAGAAAGGTGAAAGCATTAAGAATTGATCGAGGGCATGAATATTTGTTTGAAGATTTTAAAGAACTATGTAATGATAAGAGAATCATTAGACAGATATCTATTTCCAATACACCTCAACAAAATGGTGTTGTTGAGAGAAGGAATAGAATGTTGCGAGAAATGGTGAGGTCCATGATGGCGTAGGGAAACTTACCTATTTTCAATTGGGGAGATGCTTTGTTTATTACGACTGTTCGCTAAAATTATATACTGCAAATGCACGGATCGCATTCAAGTAATAAAGTGGACATTTTGAGTCAGAATTGTCGATCCCTCGAGGAATGTTTACTTTTAATTACACAACTTTAATC